AATGGAGATCCCCCCCATTCATTAGGTCCAAGATGAAACAGAGCTTGTCTTGGGTATGGAATGCATACGTCATGCATACAATGAATGGGCAATCAGCCTGGAAAAATCAATCTTGTAAATATAAATATCAATATTCATGAGTCTTCTTCCTACACATAGGTCACCTGCTACTGCTGAGCGAAAACGAGAGCTGAACCGGTGGCCCCAGATAACTTTTCCCTTCCTAGCCGTACGGCGAATGAGAAAACGCAAACTTGCGTTCGGCTCCAATTTTCCATCTCGTACTTTTTCCCTCTTGAGTTCCTGGGGAATGCGGAGGAGGACGAAGTTGTCGGCGAGGTTCGTGACGGTCACGGTCTTGAGGGCGGACAGCGGGATGGAGTGCTTCAACTTCCACATCTCGTCCAAGAGGTAGAGGGTCCCCGACGTGAGGATCAGGATCCAGTTCTGAGGCTTGTGACCGCGCCGGTTGTACTTCGTCACCCTGGTGCAGTACTGTAGGAGACGGCCAACGGAACGGGACGGACATCGTTAGACGATCTCCTATTTCGGCATGCTCATCTGACCTCATGATCAAATTCCCCTCTGCACTGCACGAGCCTCATCGTTTAACGGCAGGGTTTTTTTTTAGGGAAAGGGAGGGGATTTGTCCCGAAACCCAAAGAAACAAGGAAATATAAAATGAACCAGGACCATTAACTTGGAAGGCAGCAGTGATTCGCTTTACTAAAATAAACGCACGGCAATACGTCTGGAACGTATATTTTATGGAAAAGAAAAAACCATAGGCTTTTTCTCCCCCGTACCCCTCTCTTTCCTCGATCGCTGCAAAGGGTTGTGAGGTTTCTATTCGATGAGAGAGCAGACCTAACCGCATCTCGTACGATAGAGTTTGCTCTGACACTTGCTAAACGTCGTATTTACTTCTGGCTGTGCTTCGATACTTGGATCCTTTAGAACGACCCCAAAGAAGAAAGGAACTGACTCTGGTCTTCTCCGGATCGCGTCGAATCCCGGCTTCGAAGATCCCCTTTCGCTTCTCGTCGAGGGTGGAGTCCAACCGGTTCCCCACGAACGGCTTACCGATGCTCCCCTTGTAGCTCGACTTCTTCCCTAAAAGTCATTCCGATTCCTTCATCGTCCAGAGTTTTGCACGGCGATCGGAGGCGGATCAGGAGGAAGGAGTGGGTGGTTTGCACAGACCCCACTCCCCTTTTCCCGTCGCGATTAGATACCGTGTACCATAGTTGCACGAGGACTTCGAATCGATCCCGAAACCATGTTCTCCGTGTTAAATGAATGTTTCAATGTCACACTCTATACTTTCTTTCGAGGCAGAATCGACGATTCCTTTACTGAATTCCAGTCGGCATCGAAGCAATATCGATCGAATGTCCTCTAAATCGGTGGTGGTGAACCTTTTCCGTTCCGGGGCAACACGGCTCACTCCCACAGCCAACGCGGGCCATGTGCAGTCGCTAGTTTCGTAGAGGCCTATTTGAACCCTTTTAGACCTCGCGTCCATTTCTCGCGTCGATTCTCGTGACTTTTGCGCCCCATATTACACTACTGTATAATAGACGTAATTACACTCGCTCGTCCGAAATCTTGCCAGGACTTTGTCCATGGATTTTGTGACAGTTGCTGTCATTTTTCAGAGATAGATTGCAGTCATTAAACGACGTCATTCACTTTAGACTGAAGCTTCGTGCTACGAATCGGTCTCGAGTGAGGTTTTCTGTCTCAAATGCATGCCTCGCTTCGCTTCTCTTTCTTTCCATCGTAAGTGAGGATGCTCGAGACCGTCCCTTTGGATACGGGTCATCCATTCGAGAAACGCCAAGGCATCATCGTCCTGTGAGAACCCTTTTGTGGAAAAGTACTTAACGCACATCTCCACGATAAAGTGAAAAGGTTTGCCACGATTTCCTCACGATCGCGATTTCCCAACACGATTATTTCCCGCAACAAAACTTCACTTCTCGCCTAACATCACACGTCCCTCGAAAGCTATTCGTCGTTTACGGATGGCAGAGAGTTTGTTTTGAGATCGGTGAAATAGAGCCGGGGCAGTCTTCTCTCAAGTGTACCGATATGAAATGACGCCTCGACGGATGCCCTCTCCTCCAAATTTATCGCGAGATATAGCCCGGAGATTCAAGTGGGAATTTCCTCCGCGCTACCAGAGGAGGTCCGAGTTAGGCTAAGGATAGAATTGCTGAGTCGACTCCTCCCGTAAGTCCTATTCGATTTCATGAGCCGATAGCTTAACGTGAAGGCCTTGGAACGTTTGGGAGAAAAATCGACATACGACCAAAGTAATACCAAAAAATCGACATGGAATCCTCTCTAGAGCCCGCTCGACGATTGCACGCATCTGTCTGGAATGTTATTTTGAAAAAGAGACTTAGCTCGTACTGGTTCGCTGGTGGGCCCGGTGGAATGGTATCCAGCCTGCTTCCTACACGATCACACGGTATCGCCAACATTAATTCTCAAGTTTTTAACCTCCTCGCGCTGGGCATGAACTCGATTCGAACTCGAAAGCAACTTCCTCCTTCAAAAAGATGAGGGTGGCCAGCTCGTGCTTCCGGCGCTGGTAGGCGTCCTCGGTGGCGAATAGGGTCTGCGGAAGCCGGATGAAGATCTTCGTCCTGGAAGGGTAATAGATATTCTCACGTTCTGGAGAAACGCGATTAGGGACGATATCGGCAGCGTTGCCCAACTTCTCGAAAAAAAAGTGACTTCCAGTTACTTATTAGGCAAGTCCCAATTCACATTTATAAAGGAATTTACGCAGCTTAAGTCTTTATGGTCTTCCAGTCACTCATTGCATCCATTCATGTCTGCAGGTTCTTTTCCTGGGGATTGAAGGGAAACAAAAAAAAAAAGAAGTCTGACAATTTGTTGCTCTCGTGGTATCAGTTTTACTTAGTTTTTGCACTACTTTGAAACAACTGCATAGTTGCCTGAAAGAAGGCACGTCATTTGAAATAAAGTTTTAGAAAAAATAACCGAAAAGAAATAGGACAAGCAGTCTAAGCAATAAGGTATACCTTCATCCAAAACGATTGTCCTCTTTCTGTCTCTTTCATGCTTTTTTCTTCGGCTTCGGTCATAGTAGCAAATGCAGTATTGTGGTTGCCGTTACATCGATCGACTCTCTTTCGAGAACGAAATAATGCTTAAAGAGCCGAAAGAGGGCTACAAGGTTTGAACAACACCGTATTTCGACTTGTAGAATGCACTCACTCCCCCAATCGGTATTCATCGTTCTTGTATCCGAGGAACTTGACCAGTCGTTCCACTCCGGAGCGAGGGTTGCCACGGTAGGTCGGCCAGGTGTCCGGGCACAGGCTCTTGTATCGATGGAGGAAGGCCTCGTAGAGCCGGCGGTAAGCGAAGCCGGCCCGTCTCACTCGCAGGTTCTCCATCAGTCCCAAGTACTTCACTTGGTGCCTCACCACGTTCTCGTTGAATTGCCCTGCAACGTAATCTCGGCGGTAATACCAGGGGCAAGGGATCGCCGGCTTTGCAGCCGTTCTACCTGATTTATATATTTTTTTCAGTGCCTTCAACGCGGGACCAAATTTCTCATTTACATTTTCGTAAGATTTAGGACTAAATTTGTTCTCGTACGTTTAATTTAGCTCCACTATTTTTATCTCGAACTTTTAAATGTGAAATGTATTAATACAATCCTGGTGTGGATGAAATCCAGGCAGAGGCATTGAAAGCAATGGGCATTGATGGGTACTCGTGGCTGCAAAGGGCATGCCGAACATGTTAGGAAATCGAAGGGCACCAATAAAATGGCCGAACGATGCGGTGCTCTGTGGTGCTTCCTCTCCTCAAGTAGGGGGACTCGATGGAGCCCACCATTTATCGTGTATTCATTCTCATCGGCATACGGGCTAAATTCTACGAGGTATGCGAAGGTGCAAGAAAAGTGACTCGGAGAATATGTGGAAGAAGCCACCCAAGAGAAATATTCTGAATTTCGGGAAGGGCATAGCACCTCGGACAAGCTCTTCACTCCACATCATGTTCTCGAGGAACGTTGAGACCATGCCAAAGAGGATTATTTGTACTACCAATGTCAACTTAGCATCGACTATGTAGCGTAACTGGAAAAAAATGTCGTTTACGGCATTAAATAATATAAAATATTCCATGAAAGAACCCAATAAAACAATTTGGCTTTCTATGTCGGCTTCAACAAATTTAAGAGAGGTTTATTAATATTTCTTGCTACGTCACGCGATTCGACAGCCTTTGGAAAGGGGATTTTCGTTAATGTCTGCTTTTTTAATCGATAGCAGCACACATTTCTATCAGGCGGCGAACCACAAACTAACAAGGAATCCTTGCTGCATTCCCAATCGGGTTTTCGTTCGTGTCGCTTTAGATTGCAGAAGGAAAATTTAACCGACAAGACTTTCGATACACCGAGTGAACATTCAACCCGAGAATAGGAACTCCCAGTAATATGCATTTTCATGTTGAGAGACATTTTTTCTCGAAACTCAAGTCTCAGCCGCAATAAATAATATATATTTTTTTCGATAGCCTCATGAATAGAAGAACTGAGCATTTCTCTTAACCCTGTTACTACCAGAGCCCGGATGGTGATCTGTTTAGCTCTTTGTTTCATCGATTAATTCCAAAGAATCTCTTCCCAAAATGCTTTGCCTAATTACTATCACATGTCTTCATGAAAATACACCGAGTATCAGACTTTTCGAGTTCACGGCGCAGCCTACACAAGTGACTACATTTTTGCATCGGGGTCGATCGGACTCAGAACTCTAGTTTCGGGTCTAAACGTGGTTGACACGACCTGCAATTTCCTTTCCCGATTCCTACAATTGTGGTTTAACTTCTCCGGGCGAAAATAGCTTCGGTTCGGTACACATCCCACGATGACAGAGCATCGGCAGGCATAGTCGGCTCACCGGGCTGCTTGAGGTCGTTGGGCTTGATGCACCTGATGTAGGAAGGCTCCTCGCGGATGAGGGTCTTGGTGAGGCTCTGGAGACTGTCCTTGAACTGCGTGGCCACCGTGGGAGGTCTCTTCTTGGCAAGGATCTCCTCCTTGGGGAAGCAGGCCCGGACGATCTCGTTCGAGGACTCGCTCATCGCTTCCTTCAGGTCCCGGAAGAGCAGGTCGTTGTTCTTGTCGAGGAAGCCGCGGACTTTGTAAGTGACGTCACCCGCGTAATGCACCAGGCAGAACTCCTGCAAGGTCGACGACACGGGACATCGTTATTCTCCCGATACCATTTTGCCGAGCTTCTTCGTAACGAGTGCGAACAGAGCCATTCGTATCTCTCTTTACGGGCGCAAGTGACCCATTTTGCTGGTACGGGAGACCACATTTACGGGTGCCAAAAAACCTTGCAAATCCTAAGTGAATGACGTTTCGTTTCCATCGTGACTCGATCATGACCTGTATGTTCGTCGCTGGAAAACACTTACGCTTGCGAAAAAGCAAAAGTGAACCCATTCCACGGAGCCGTCTCTCGAGAATATGATTTTGAGCCGAAATAGGGAGAAGTACTCACGTCCAGAGAGTCGATGCTGCTCCTTTTGCCGACGTTGGTCTTGGCCCGCTTGAAATGGGCGTGAGATCCCAACACGGTGTTGATTTTGTTGAGGAAGGTGGTGTCCGTCCGATCCCCAGGCCGCAAGCACTCCTCGTCCAGCAACGATATCATCCCTGCGTCCGCACGCGTTTATCTCAATTCCATCGAGATGGAAGCGATACCGTACGGCTACCGATAGTGCTCGACCCTCCCGAGCGATCGGGCCTCACTCGAGAAAAGATATCACTTATGGCTAACGGCCTACGGAATCACGGTTTCGTGTCTGACTGCACTCGCCGATGCATCAAGGACCGATCGAAGACAACTGTTAGTTTTACAAATCGTTGAACACATGTTAGGAGCGCGAATAAAAAACGTAAAACAGCTTCTAGGGCGAGAGAAATGATGACAATTATATTCATCATATCTTTAAATTATCCATGTATAAAAGCTAAACCGGAGACTACCCCACGGAACTTTTCTTTTCCGTGTCCATGGATTCAACCATCGACGCGCAGTTGACGATCGGAAACTGAAGAAGCACATTAACCTGTGGGCTGCTCGACCCATTTATGCAGTAATGGTCCCCGAGTTCGGCTTCGGCAGAAAACTAAACCCAAAGAAAAGGGTATGTGATCGCCGCGATCGCGATCGGATGGAAGAAACACGACGACCTTGGCATAGGCTTTGATTATGGCCATGTTATTCGATGAGAAGCTCCCGGCTTCCCTCTCCGCTCTCGTGGAGAGGGAAGCTGGAAGAAGTATCCCCTACACTCTTGCGGAGAAGGAAGCTGGAAGCTTAGATAGAGCCTCGTGCACGAGGCCGATGTTGGAGAAATTCGCGCCGAAACCTGCACGAGCTAAAGAGATGAGGAAAAGAGTTCGTAAGCCTCGTTCCGTGAGAGCCAGGTTCTCGTGCCGATCGGTACGATCGGCTGCTACTCCTTTCCGTAGAAATCCCATCAGATATTCTCTTCTTTGGAAATATGGTTTCGCGACCCGTAGGTTGGAGTTTTTCTCCGTCCCGCTCGGCAAAATCTGTTCGTCGATGGAATTGGTGCCTGGATCGAGTCTGAAATGCCTACTCTCGCTTCATGCATGCTGCCAAAGGTAAGGCTTAAAACCGAGAGCATGTTGCGTCTCACCCTGACAAATTGAAAAAACCGTGCACCTCATCGTACCTCATCGCGAGTGACAAAATGGTGCCTACCTCCGTGGTTCTTGTCGATGAGCTCGCAGATGATCTTATTATTGAAGTACTGGACGGGGGTCCACTCGATCCCTTCCTTCAGGTATTCCTCCTGTTCGGATTTCAGCGTCAGTTCGATGAAGAGTTGCTGCAGCTTCTCGTTGCAGTAGTTGATGCAAAATTGCTGGAAACTTCCGGAGAAAATTATTTTTCACCGAGTCGAAGTTTGTTCCCGTTTCCTTGCCTTTTGCTGGCGTTTTCATTAGATTTAGACAAAGAGGCTTTAAGGAGAATCGTCGTTGCACAATAGAAGTGCGAGATGACGATCTCGAGAGTCATCGGGACGAATTCGTCCGGTAGGTGGAAGAAAACTGATGCCAAAATCAGACTACTCCTGACCAAACACGATTACATCGATCCCAGAAAATTTGAACTTTCTCAAAGACTGAAAACCATAGGATCGAAGCACGAGTACGTCACTTCCACGGTTAAAAAATTGCATGAATGAAAATGAAGTGTCTCGTGGCAAGCCCCACGGCACGATGGCTCGATGCGTGAAAGTTTCTCGACGGGAACGGCATATATCACGAGCTACGTTCGGCCTCGATCACCTGTTTTGGCCGAAGACCTCGAAGCCGTAGATGTCCAAGATGCCCATGAGGCGTCTCTTTTGCGTGATCTGTGCCTCCAGACTCTCGTTGAGGTGCGAGACGACCCAAGAGAAGAGACGCTGGTACACGGCCTTGGCCAGGGCATCCCGAGCGTAGATGGCATCGTCTCTCGTCAACGGCGTCTGCACGAAGTCGCCCTTGGCTTCGATGGAGCGGTTCGTCAGCGCCCGCGACAGATCCGCCTCCGTCGTCCCCAGCATCTGCGACGGAACGGCACGAGAGTCAGGCATCGCATCGAGAGAGACGAGCGATCTCGTCGGTCGCTTCGCCGGTCGACATTCGGTGAAACCGATCGTGCGTCCCGTGTCGGAAAGGAGACCGATCGGAATCCACATCTCATTTTTGTGCACGACTTCGTACGTTCTAGAACATAAAATGGAGGATTCTCGGTCGCAAACCTTGGCCGCAAGTCGGACTTTGTCCTTGTTTTGCACGATGGCCCTGCTCTCCTCCGCCGAGAATCCCACGTCTCCGAGGTGAAGAATCCCCGCGATGATCTGGAACATCTTCGTTTCGTCGTCGTTCGAGATATCGCACACTCTCATGGCGGATCTCACGGCTTGGAACTGCGCCGCATCGCTCAAGCTGGAAGACGTGGATTCCGAGTGCTTCACCTGTGGAAAATGCGAAGCGAACCGAGTGACTCCAGGATCATTCGGGTTATCTTGCAGCAAAATTAAAAGTAAATCGTGCGCAATTTCAAATTCACGTGCTTCGTAAGGACTGACCGCAAGTTTTCATTTCGTTTCTTTCGCACATACCTTACCCTTAAGATATCCCAGAATCTATTCGACCGACCTCTTTAAACGCCCGTCGGATCCGTCCGCATGTATTCGCTAGTGCAGCACTGGCTTTAAAATATACGATGGGCGGGACGACTGACCTGAGAGAGGTAGTAGTACTGAGAAGCTTCTCTGTTGAGCCCGAGGTCCTGCAGGAGTCCGTCTTCTGCACCGGCCAAGAGTTGATAGAAGATGTGGAAATTTCTCTCTCCGGGCGATTGATGCACCACTCGGCTCTTCTCCAGCAGGTAGCTCAAGATGTGGCCGTCCACCGGCTCTCCCTGAGTTCGTCCCGGAAAGAGATACGTCCCGGGTTATTCCTTGCAGAAGCTTTTTCTCCAAGAAGTTTTTCTTTAATGTATCTTCTGCCGCAGCTCGACTCGTGACCGACGGTGAAACTCCCATTAAAAGAGTCGGTTTTACGGTTCGGTCGAGAGACGCATGGCTTGCCAGCAGCTGCAGGATACTCGAGGAAAATGGTCAGATGGCAACGGCGAATATTCCGAGCTCAATTACAGTTTAAGTGGAAAGTTCTGTAACCAAATTATTTTTTGTTTGAAGAATTTTTTTTTCGCTTAAAATCTTTTTTTTTTATCACTTGTAATATGTTTTCAATGGTGTCTCTTTTATATCTGTTTTTTTTTTTTTAACCAGTGATTTTGTCTTCAATATAATTTTTTTTATTACGAAAAAATTGACTGCAGAAATTTTCACACACCCAGTAGAAAATGTACGAAATTCGCGAATAGACTCATTTATTTTTAAAATATAGTAACTGCAAGAAGACCATCGAAAAAACAAATTATTGTTCATAAATCTGGATCTGGTCTTACAAACGGCAACAAGCCCATAAAGTAATAACTCCCCACCAAGTAATAAAACATGCAAGTTTCATCACTGGAGGAGCTGTAATTCTGCGATTCCGCAATCCAAAGGGAGAAAGCAAAGATAATTTCGTAATTTCGGTGCTGAATACTCCCTGATTTGACACTAATGAACCAGGTTCGTCGATATCAGGACTCTGACAAGTCAGGTATTGAAAGAGTCGAGTCGATATTCGAAGCGTATCTGGATCGCACGGCAGCGTTAGATTTCAGGAGATGATCTCCCAGACTCGCAAAACGGGAAAGTGGACAACCTTGAAGGCGCACCTTGAAGTCGAATGCGGTGTCCATGTACTTGCCGAACCGGGAGGAGTTGTCGTATATTTTTACCGTACCGAAATTGGATCCGTGCCGTTCGTATATGACGCGAATAAGGCGTACGAGCAGCCGCGATGGATATCATCCACCCGTTCCGATTCCTACGTGTAGTCCCCACTCGTACGTGATTCTCTTCGACGAACATCCTGGAGGGTTCCCGGACTTTCCCTCTTCCACTTGGAGGGCCTCTCCATCCACCTATCAGTGTCTCTCCATTCACCTATCGGTGCCTCTCCATTCACCTGTCGGTGCCTCTCCATTCACCTGTCGTCCCGATCGCGTCCCCCCGGTACATCCTCAGGCTCGACGACGGATTAACTTTTTTTTAAAAAGAGATCTCATTCGGGATCGGCAGAAGTTGCATGGGAGCCAGTCGTTCGGACGTGCGTCGTCAAAACATCCAACGACTGTTCAAAGATTCGAACCTCTCGAGTGGCTTTCTCTTTCACACGACCAAAATTCGGACACAAGTAATTACATTTTTTTGTACTCGTGGGAGGGGGGTATGGTGGGGGGGGAGGGGGGGGTTTCTTCCAAGCAAGCTTTCATTACTTGACTCGGGACCAACGGTAAAAACACAGAAGACCGACCATAACGGATGTCCTTATTGTCCTGTGATTGCCATGCGCTTTTCATCTGGGTCTTCCCAGTGAGTGTGACCTCTCTTCGAGAGTGTGTGACCTTTCTCGCTTCCACGAAAACGGATTTCGCGTCGCGTTCGAGCGAGAATTCCTGCCTTCTATCGTTAAAACGAACGACGGAAAAAAAATGCAAATTTTGTCGTTATCGCAATCACGATTCCTTCTCGAAAGGGTTCTCGATCGGTGAAACGACCGCTCCGAAACGGATATCCGTGCAGAAGCGACGGAGGAGATTTCTCGCGTCTCCCCGTGCAAAAGTGAGGAAGAGGGGGGAAAAAACGATGACTCGCGCGAGCATTCGCGATAAGCGAGGATGAGGAAATCCGCTATCTATTCGCCGATGGACGAGAAGCGCTAAGAGCGCAATGTAACGGATAGATAGGGCAACGCCATATACACGGGATGCAAGCGATATCGACTTCCCGGGGGGGAAGGAGGGGGGGGGGGGAGGAGGGGAGAGGGGGAAGGAGGGGGGGGGGACTCGGACGATGCAACAGGCAGCCGCTCGATCTACGATGGGGCTCCTGTTTTCGAGTCGTGGAAATCTCATGGCCTCGAAACGAATATTGAGTTACCGACAGCAAGATCCATCGACAGGGTGTTCCGAAAGTTTCCGACTCCCTTCCCCCCCGCACACACACACCCACACGCACACAAAATGTGGGTAAATGCCGACAACACGAAGATCCTTACGATGCCTCTCGGGCCGAGAAAATGCGGGACGGAGCCTCGTGCCGCGCGACTGGCTTCGAAGAGACCGCGCTTCGGGTCCGGAAGCGGTTCGCCGAGTTCACCGTCCGGATCTCGACGACCCGAACTCCCGCGGCACGGGTTTCGGAAGATCGTTCCGCGCCGGCTAGGCCCCACGGATCGGACGTCGGTCGTCACCTGGGTTCCGAGCGGAGCGGGCAACCGACGCGACGAGCGTCACCACTGAGCGTCACCCCTGAGCGTCACCTCTGAGCGTCACCCCGTCGATCGGGAGAGAATCAAGGGACGCCGATCTGAATGGAGGTCCCCGGAAGTCCCTTCTCCTACCGATGCAGGAGTCGGTGCCTGGGGTCTTCTCGGTCGGTGCCTGGGGTCTTCTCGGTCGGTGCCTGGGGTCTTCTCGGTCGGTGCCTGGGGTCTTCTCGGTCGCAAGGAATGCCATGGAAACCGTACGTTCCCGTTCGTCTCGTCTCGGTCTTTATCTTCTCGAGTAGGAAACTCTCGGAACACCCTGTACGTGCATTCCCAGAGATAACAGAACGCAGCCGAAGGAGTCCCATCCCAAGGCATTTAGGGATTCCTCGTTAAGCGCAACGACGAGACCGAAACGATGCCCCCGAGTCCCCCGAGTCCCTCTGGAACCGGGAGACACGTCATCGTCTCTTTCGTCTCGAAGAGTGTCGAACGAGACGAAAGAAGAAAGGGGCAGACCACGGAACGAGGTCGTCCGTACTCGATCTTTGAACTTTGTAATGGGGTCGATGGTTTTTCCCGAGTACTCGATCGCTCGCGAGCGCGTACACTCATGCCCCGAGTACCATAACTTCTGTACGCGATTCGGTCGAGAGAGGTCTCGAGGGCGTTGCGATGGGAGGGAATGCGCAGGGTTCCGCCCTGATTGCCCAATTACCCCACGTGAAGGAAAGACGACGGAGTGCAGAAAAAATTCGGTTTCGCGTGGAAATGGGTGCAGGATACGATTTATTGCACCCGTTTCTCTGCCGCAGACGACGTCGACGGAACGCGTGTTACGTGCGAGAACGTTTCTAGCTCTCGACGACTCCGTCCCCTCTCGTGGGCGGGCGACGACCTCCGCACGCCTCCGTTTTCTCACGACCCCCGGAGAAAAAATGCAGACGACCTCGGCGAGGCGAAAGGAGCGAACGCTAGAGCGAACCGTACGTTCCCCGCACGGTCGCGGGGGAGGGGACTCGCATCGGGGAGGGGACTCGCATCGGGGAGGGGACTCGCATCGGGGAGGGGGTCACTCCGAACCGGGAGGAATCTCTCTCGACGACTCTCGGCCTCGAGAGACGGCGAACCCGATCGGAAGGGACGGGATTCCGCATCTGTCGAGGATGGCGTGAAAGAGGCGTGAATTCCCCGTGCCATCCCGCAGCCATTCCCCACCATCCCCCAGCCATCCCACGCGAGTCGACTCTCGACGATGGCCTCGTGCGCGTTGCATCCGACGCGTTCGTTCGACCTCGCGATGCCTTCCGAGCGGTTCGGAAAATAGTATCGATCGAGAAGGGGCGGAAACTCATCGGTCGTGCCGAGCCGTCAGAACGGGCGACCGAATCGCTAGCTTTCTCGACTTGCAGAATTCGAGTCGGTTTTCAAACCTTCCCTCCTGAGACCGAATGACGTCATCACCAAATTGCGTCAGGGTCTATTTACACGGGACGCACGTGGTCGCCAGCATCGGGGTTTCGGTTGGAAACGACCCAAAACTGCACCACCCAGTTGTTTTTTTTTTGTTCCATGCCACAGGTGGTCGTGGAGAAGGGAGAAGGGGGGGAAGGGAAGAAAGGGCCCCCTCTCTTTGCCCCTGGTCATCCTAGCGAGAACACGGCCTCGTCCCCACCTCCGAAACGGAAAAATGGTGGACGTGGGTGTCTCTGCTCTCGTGCGCTGCAGGTGAAACATAAGCTCGAGGGGCTCATACGCTGAGAGATGCGAAGGCGTCCATCGCGTCGTCGACGAACACGCAGGGGAGCACGATGGTTCCACCCGCTTTTTCTCTCCTACGACGGGGACGTGGCGCACCCGGTGAAGTCAGCGTAGGGAGCCGTTCGTTCCCTTCGGAGTCTTCTTCCTCCCTTCCCGAACGACGACGAGAATGCGAGGAAGGAGGGAAGGGAGACGAGAGAGGAAGGAAGCGAGGCGTGCCACGTAAACAGATCCATTCGTTCCGAGCGTCGAGCGCCGAAGTCACTCCACGATCGAGATCGTTGGCAGTCGCTGGGACTCGACCGTAGGGAATTTGTCTGCCCGATAGGGTAAAGAAAATCAACAGTACAGTACACATCCCGTTTCTTTCGGTCTCGAAAACCGAGAGGGAGGGATGGAGGGGGGAGGGGGGGGAACAACCGGCAAATCTCTGAATCTGTCAGTCGATTTCCTGGAAATTTCCTTCTGAAAGTAGAAGCTCCCAGCTTCGGTAATTAAATAATTAATAAATAAAGGAAGGAAACGATATCGGAACGATCGATCCCCTTCCTGCTTCGACGCTCGGAAAGAACCCGTTCCGCGATGGGGAAGGACGGAGAACTCACGTAGATGACGTCGTGGTTGAACCTCTTGTTGAGGTTGTCCAAGAAGGCATTCTCGTCGGTGTGATCCTCGAGGAGGACGAAGTCGTCCACTCCCACTTTCTCCCTCTGGTGCGAGGATTTCTCCATCCGAGGGTCTCTGAGCGTCTCCGAGCGTCTCGCCTTCGCTCCCGAGGGTTTCCTAGATTCCGACGCGTCGCGGATCGCCTACGATCGCATCGTCCTCGTCCTACGAAAAACGAGACGAAACGGCTCGGTCACCGACCGAACGAAACGCGATCTTCCGACGCGGAAACGCGGCGCGACCGTCACCGGTACGAACGAGACGAGCCCGACGAAACCGTACCCGCGTCGACGCGAGACCTCGGTGAGTGTCGAGCGAGATAAAAACGAGTGGAAAAAAGTCGGTATTCGACCCGGCCCCTCTCCCCGCAGACAGATAAGCCTCGAACGTTGCAGTTCCCGTCGGTGTTCCAGATAACGAGTTCGCCTTTTCCGTCTCCGTGTCGCCTCGCCCGGGCGAATTCCCATTCCGGCTCGGGGAGCCGAGAAGCTCCTTCGAACAGAACGAACGAATCGTCGACGGTCTCGTTCCGAACCGAAACCCAAAAGACCAAACCCGACCGTTCGTGATTCCCGATACCGATCCGTCGTCGGACGAAGCCGATGATCGGCTCGATAACGACACGAGCCTCGACGATCGCGATTTCCGGTCCGAATTGCATCTCGTTTCGACTCGTCTCGAATGCACACTTGCGATGAGCTCTCCATAAACACGCATGCACCTCGCATTTTTGATGGAATCTGCGACTCCCCCGCATTCTTTCCCACGAGGATGGGACTCGCGTGTCGATTCCGGTCGATCGCTCTGTGGCGACCCGCGATGAAAGCGTCGGGGGATTCCACATCCGAGAATTTCGGTCGAGAATAGACCACATAGGGTAAGCACCCCGGTTTCTGGCAGGTCTCCAGTTGTCGGCCGGTGAGGCTTAAATCCGGCATCGTTAGTCGATCTGGCCGTTTTCGGCCATTCTATCGACGTCTTCCCGTACGAGGACATATAACCGGTGTTTCCCAGTGTGCGCACGTGGTGTCCACAAACTCTGGAAGTATCGGCGTGGCCAAAAACTGGGGTCTTTACCCTACGTCGGCGTCATGCGTCCGACTCAGAAGATTTCATTTGAAAGAGAAGAAAATCGGTGGGGATGACTTTCTTGCACGTCACAACACCCACCGACCGAGCCTCGAATGAGCCAACGGGTTTTTTTTTTCCTACGAGACACCGTAAAACGTCCCCTCCCCACCTCTCCCCAACTCTTCCCCACCCCTTCCCCACCCCTTCCCCGACACCAAAAGTGGATGTCGAGATGATCGGTTCGGAAGGCTTTCGCTTGGATATGGCCTGCATCTCGGCCCGTTCCGAGTTTCCAGACGTAAAATGTAAGGCACGCGAGGCTTCGTAACGCGAGGTTCCGTGCCTCGGAGACGGGAACGAGCACGCTCTAAGCATTCCGAACGGCGACAGAAAGGAATGCGAAAAACACGCGAACGGCCGAGCGCGTACGGCATTCCGAATGATCCTCGCGAACCCTTAGCGTTTTTCGTTTCGGGAATCATTTCTCGGTCCTCGAACGAGGTTTCGGCGCGAGAGCTTCCAAACGGATCCGTGTCGAAGTCCGGTCGATTCGTTTCTTCCTTTCGATTCCTTCGAACGAATCGAGGAGGACGGAGAGGAGCTCGACGCGTTCGTCGCGGATTCGAACGCGAACGCGCGTGAAGGAAGCCGACCCGATTTTACGAAAAACAAAATGTCCCTTTCCGTTATCGTTTCGCACTCGTACACCGTGAGCACGCGATCGCGCGAGGCTAAAAAGGATCAGGCGAGGATTACGTTACGATAATAATAATAATAATAATAATAATAATAATAATAATAATAAGTAGGATTAGGGTTGGCTTCCTCTGCCGAGGGGAAGCCAACCGAGAATGAGCGAGGGAAGAAGTGAATTCGCGAAACGGGAATTTTCACAAAAGGCGCCACGGCGTCTAGGGAATGAGAGAGATGAGCAAATTTTTGGGCTCTTAATTTACCATGTTCTGTCGCGAGGAAAATGGCGGAAATTTGACGTTTCTGCGACCAAGGGTTGGGGAGATACAGGTTTTCAAAGAGAGGCATGCAAATCGTGACCTTTGACAAAAAGTGGCTTCAAGGCCCTCCCTTGGGGTCCTCTACAATAATTATAAGCCAGAATTTGATTCTAGGGGGGTCGATTTTCATCTTCCCTTAGTACCTTAAAGTAAGCGTTTTCGATCACATTCTTAGCCCTTTCAGCAATGATGCCAACCCTCAATTCCCCTTCCCTCCCTTCCCCCTCCTACCCTTCCCCCTCTTTCCCCTCCTGCATGGCTCTGAGGGCATGCAGGTTGCCTCCTTCACAAGTACGACGAAGAATCTTAGAGTGATTTTCCAGGGAAAATACATGATATATCCTGGATATAAAGCAGCATTACCGGATAGTTCTCGGTTCAAAAATCAACCCTTGCTCTTTTTGCTTACTCTACTAAAAATTAAATAGTAAAAGTAGAAATGAACTTTAAATCATGATTAATGATCCATCGCTACTATTGTTGAAGACACACTGATTAGAGTGATGAACAATGTTGTGATTCGATGCAAGGAATGTATCAGTTGTGAAAGATTGCATTTGATCAATTGCATTTAAAGAATTTAATTTTTAAGATGTAGACCTGGGATTGTTAGTGTGACTATCTCCCATGTTTGTACTTTACTTTGATATAAAAACAGCTTGCATTACTTTGTTCAGTCATGATTTATTACAAAAATAAATGTGCCAGATATAAATGGGACACCCTGTACTTGAGCCGAGCCGAAAAGCGAAAATTGATGAAACGCAAGTATGAATAGGTTTTCGAGAAGCACCGTCGACTATGGAATTTACATTCGAGGGACTCGCCTCCGGCATGAGTCTACGAACATTGGGCATGGGGCAAGGCCCCTGGGACGTAGGGTAAGGCCCCTGGGACCAGTTCTCGAGACCGTTCGACCGTCGCCTAAATAAATACGTGATGTGTATACCCGGGTAACTGCATTTGAACCAGACTCTCATCGTTTTTCTCAAGGACTCGTCCTTCTGCAAGAATCGCTCCTATCTGTAGCTTCAGCCGATTCAGGAAGATGCGGAATAACACTTTTCTGGGGTGGCTTCTCGGGCTGATGGTGCGATAGTTTTCCATTTTCTCAAATCTCTCTTCTTTGGCTGTGGGATAAGGGCCGACTTCGTCCACTGATCTGACCAATTCTCTCCCTGTCTCGTTGCATATCTTGTGCAGAACATCCCTCACTCTTTCTCCTCCTGCCTTCAACAGTTCTGCGGGGATGTCGTCGATGCCTGCTGCTTTTCTTTTTTTCCGTTCGTTCACTGCCTCTACTACCTCTTCCCTCGTGATGTTGTCGTTGTCGTCATCTTCTGCATCTTCGTAATTCCCGCAGCTCTGTTATCATTGTTTGATCTGGGTTGATGTAATTGTGAAGTTCCTAGCAGTACTCAGCCCACCTTCCTGCTGCTGCTTTGCATTCCGTTAGAATTTGTTCGTCTTTGTCCTCGATCGTCGATGTTCTCGCTTGAAAGTCTTTCGTGGGCTTCTTGACCGTCTCGAACGCTTTTTTGCTGCAGTTGCTTCTCATACTCCTTTCGATTTCACGACATTCTTCATCGAACCACTTCACTTTCTCTTTTGTTGATCTCCTTTCTCATCACGTTGTTTACTCTTCGATATTCTTCTGCTCCAGTCTCATTGTCGCGTTTCGGTTCGCGTCGTCGATCGCACATTTCCAGTACTTTTCGCGTCATCCACGGCTTTCCGATCTTCTTAGCCTTTTCGAGGATCTCACAGGCTGTTTCCTCCATTTGCTTTGTGAATTGCTCTACGAGTTCTTTCGGATCTGTCAACAAAAATGAGCGGAGCAAATCTTCCACCTATTTTTGCTTGGAATCCTGCTTTCACCTCTGGGTCCTTCAATTTCTCAAGATCGAATTTTACAGCGGTTTTTCTTTTTCTTTTCCTTCTTCTTGAGCTTGACCTTAATTGTCATCATGACTAGCTCACGGTCACTTCCGACGTCTGCTCCTAGAAAAGAGCTTGTTTTGCTCATGTTTATGCTTGACTGGAAACGTTTTTGCATCAAGATGCAAAAACGTTTTGCATCTTGATGCAAAAAGTCCATTTGCTTTCTATGTTGTTCCCCAGGGGAGCACCAAGCTGCTCTTCTAAATTCCTTGTTTATCCGTAGTGTATTTGCTAGGACCATGTCGTGGAGTCTTGCAAACTCGTAATCTCAGGTCTCGTTCATTCGTGGTCCTCAACCCAAATCTTGTCGCTGTTCCTTTCCAGTCTTGGTGGGCATCTGTTCCGACCTTAGCGTTCTAATTACCTTGGATGTTCACGACGTCTTTTCTTGGTATGTCTTTCAATACTTGCTCGATGCAAGTGTAAAATTCCTCGACCTTTTCGTCACTGCGGGTTGTATGCAGGGCCACCCAGAGGGGGGGGGGGGCAAAGGAGGCAATTTGCCCAGGGGTCCCGGGTATCACGGGGGCCCCCAAGGGGTCTCTGGTTTATTTTTGCCCCGTGCCCCTGGAAACCTCTGTGCGGTCCTGGTTGCATGTCGGTGCATACACATGTATGATGGTGATATTTGCTGGTTTTGCAAGTGGACGATTAGAGATTTTCCCACTAGTCACAGGTTTGCACTCAATGGTGCAAACCATATGGACACCATAAGGACACCTGTGAACACGGTGTCCTTATGAACTATCATTGCCTTTTTGCTAACTTTTTCATGTTTGCCTGCTTCGCCACTGTATCATATTTTGTGTCCCTCATCTGTTGTCAGTTCTTCCATGTTCGGCCATCACACTTCTGGCTCCCGATAGGATGCTAAAACACCCTCGTAATTACAGGTAATGGGATGAGTGGAAAGACCAGAACCCTTAGAGCGTGGGTAGAAGGTGGGAAGGAGGAGCTTCGGGGTCATTCAGTGGCAGTGCAGATTGACTTTCGAGGGCACACGATCGAAGGACGGGTGAATACGGAAGGGGCCGAGAGAA